TCTAACTAGTAAATTATTCAAGAATGGCAAGTTATTATTTGTTTTGATTTAAATATGTTGAAGAAAACATAAATAAAATTGTATTACAGTGTTCTTAATTAGAATTTAATTCGAATAGTCATTGAGAATAGAATGCCTTTACAGGGCAATTTAAGTAGCTTCAACCTCACAAACATACAAATATGTACAAATACAAATATCTTTTGACAATGAGGTGAAATATGACTCGGACATGCCTTCATGAGACCTGGGGCCTCATGATGGTAGTCGAACATGATGGTAGTCGAACAAATTTAGGGTTGCAGGATTAGAGTAGGTAGTTTCGAGTTGATAAAACCAAACCAATCCAATCAGGCTTTGTTGGTACCATGATGCTTTCTCTGTCAACTCAGGCTTTGATCCTGAGTTTAGGAGTGACATCAGTAGCGAACAGCCAATCACATGCTGAGAAAGAGTGAAACTCATAAAAAACTCATTGAAATTAATTTATCACGAGAGAAGTAGCGCAATTCACTTATTAAATAAAAGTATTAAAATATTAAGAATTTACACAGCAAGAAGAAAATAGCTGTCTAAGAAAGAGGACAACTTAAAGAAAGTCTTGCTACTGTATATCAGTGCAAGTAAAAGTTGTAAAGTTAGTTTATACAGTTAAAGGTATAGAGAGAATTGAACATTTAAGCTCACATGTAGTCATTTCATAGCTTCATTTATTGAGTGTTTTTATATTACCTTTATATACGTATTCATTTAAAATCTGTGAAATAATAATTAATCAACTAAATTTGTACATGTGAGATCGTTTAAGGGTGTAACAATTACAGAAATGATTTCTAAATCATTTATTTACTAAAAAAATATATATTTTCTAAATCATTTGTTTATTATCAATTTATTTACTAAAAGCCATGATTTTGTCTTTTAAAATCATTCGCTATGTAGTGACCTTTAATTTGGAGTGGAAACAGGTGGAGTGACTTTAACATGTGTCACTTTGCTCACAGCTGATTGGTCCAAGTTCGGTTTGCAACCTCTTACCTGGAACATAACCTGCCCTGGACCAGGTTGGCCGTGGGGCGTAAGTTACTATGGCGATGAACACTGCTAAAAGCCAAACCACTTTCATGGTGCCTAAAACCCAGGGTTGGCGCAAACTAAAGTGAAACATAGCTGGCTAGCCACCTAAACCGGCTTCATGGTGTAGGCCCCTGGAACATGCTGACTTCAATATAGCACCTTCTCACAAATACCCAGAAGCTCCTAGCATCATGTAGACCTGTCATGAACATGTACAAGATTTGGAAAGGGACACAATGTTAAACAGGCATCTATTTACGTGCCATCCTCTCACTTTTGTTGCAGGCAGGTCACTCTGAATCAAGGACAAAGAGACAAAACTTTGTCAAAATCAATTGGCAAGCATTAGTTTGATGAGTCAGACTTTAAGAATAACTTAAAGGACAAAAGGAAAACACCTGAGAATCTTTGGATCAATTTTCTTTTCAGATTAAATTGTCAACTGAGCCCAAAATCGGTAAATGCCATTTAGCCAGATAAAAGGAGAAAAAAAACCCCACTACTAATAGCTTTTTTTGACAACATCAAAGATAAAACTAATCACTTGGGCGAAAAGGCTAATTTAAGGAATCTTTTCCTCAAATTAGTATTTGTTGTTGGGCAAAACAGATGGAAGGTAGATGAAATGCTTAACAACCTTTTAGGAGCTGAAAGCTTGAGCTGCTCACTCACCTCGTGTTCACGAGCAAGAAATATAACAGGCAGACAGAAGCGCGCCCATCTCATCCTGAGGTGTTTATTGCAGCTAACAGCCACCTTCTCATCTCTCAAAGATGTAATCATTCTGTGTGTTTCTTTCCCCTTGTGCTGTTATACTGTACGGTTCTAGACAGAGACTGTAAGATAATAACAAAGACATACGACATCTTGTGGCAAGATGAGGAAGCGCAGGACAAATTTGGATGGAGAATTTTTAAACCAATCAACTACTTTAAATGTGTAACTAGAGGGATGTATTGAAAGTTTAGGGTCGTTAAAATGTTTGTTTTTTTTTTGTTTTTTTTTTAAACAGTAAAACAAAAAATATGAAATATAATTACAATTTAAGATAACTATTTTCTATGTATTATTTAAGTAAAATTTATTTTATTCCTGAGATGACAAAGCTGAATTTTCAGCATCATTACTCCAGTCTTCAGTCAGTGTCACATGATCATCAGAAATCATTCTAATATGCTGATTTGCCGCTAAACATTTTGTTTATTATTCTCAATGTTGAAAAATATGACATTTTCTTTATAAAAAGTTCAAGAGAACAACATTTATTTGAAATTAATGCAGAATAAAAGGTTTTTTTTTTTTTAAGTATACTGACCTCAAACTTTTGAACGGTACTCACATGGCTCAATCATTTCTAATAAACTAAACCTAAACAATTAATCACAATATTGTGATTCGCATCGTGATCCGGATATCTATAATAACATCAAGTCTGGGTTGATTCCTGGATAAAATATCTAAAAATAAACATCCCATGGCTGATCCTTCCCTTTCTGTAGCAAGCTTAGACTAGTCAAAATGTCCATCAGATCCACTATATCTGAGATAGTTGCTAATTAATCTCCCAAAGTGCACGTGGAAGCATCCCACGACTGCCATCCGACGACTTATCTGCAATCTAATGAGTCCACGCTGGCAAAGCTGCAAGAAGCGACTTGCTTATCGCGCCAGGGGTGGTAATGGCGGCCCACAGCAATTCACGCCATTACAGCTCAATCTGGCAACATGGCCGCATGATGGATTTAAACAAGCCACTCCTACACAAAAACCTTTTTGAGGCACAGCTAAAAGCCTTTCTGAAGCAGAGATGTGAGATGAATGTGATAAAACACGTTCCCAGCTGCTGCACAGATCCACCAGCGGGCCTCGCCCCAGAGTAGGTGCCGATAGTACTTTCTGACCCTCGTGGCTCCTGAGCATTCCCAGCATCCCTCTCCATCTGCCGAGCCGCCACAGAAGAGGACAAGCCTGGCTGGTGCTACCCAGGCGGCGAGGGAGTGCAAGCAGAGGGCAATGCTCTGATGCTGGGAAAAGTTCTGCTCTGGGAGACACCTGCATAAATCCTGGCTCATTCACTCTCATGCATATCAATAACAGAGGAACTACAGGACAGCAGTGATTGGATGGGTTTGTACATTGTCTGAAAACCCTATGAGATAGATTATTCCCTTAGACTGTTTTCGGGGCAAGCACAACACTGGGAAAAAAATATATAAAAAGAAAAATTGGTACTTGCTCATGCAAAAGTTGGCACTATGATGCTAAAGAGTTCCCACGGTATCATGAGTTCTGAACAATGCATTTCTATTATTTTCAGGAGCTTTTCAAACATTTCTGAGACGGCACTCGCAAAGAGTAGTGAAGCAGACAAAATTATGTAGACTATTACTTTCTGTTTCTGTTACTTTCCTGGAAAACAAACTTTAGAAGGTTTTCAATGCCCATGGGATCCACGTTGGGTGTTATGAGAGATTGTTTACAAAGTCAAAAGATTTTTTTTTCTTAGTAATTCTAAATCCATCACTCGAGAAAGTAATAGCTAAACATTTATTATACAGAGAAAAAACCCTGAAAAATACACTTTTATGCCGTCTTTCTAGAACAGCGTTTCGGACAGAACAGTCAAAACTGTTCAATTAACTTTTATACAAGCCATAGTGGAAACAAACAAGCTGCATTAAGGCAATTAAGTATCTAATATATTTGACATTGAAGCACAAAAACAATTGGAGAGAGATTCGCTTTCATTCAGGTATGCAAATGGTTTTGTAAGACTGATAAGATAAACAAAAACGAGTCATATCTGTAAGCAAATTCATTAGGAGTTTGATAAACAATGAGACAACAACAGAGGAATCTCAAACCACTCAATTAGGAGTGGATGGATTGACATTGTAAAAGGAATTGAATAGCATACTAACTATATTTGATAAAATATATATTTTGCAGGAAATTCAGCTAAATAAATAAATTAATTAATATTTATATACCTTCAAATTATTATTATTTTTTTTGGTTTGTATCAATCAAGTCACATAAATAAATCAATTAAATACATTTAATAATTTAATAAATTCCCCTCACAATACTGGATTGGTGATCTCATGTCAAGAGTACATTTTTTGTACAATTTTTCTAATACATATAATCAAACTATTTTACATTTATTAAAAATATCTTTTAGTTTCAAACAAGTTTTAAAAATAAATAAAAAAAAAATATTATCTTTATTGATTATTGATTATGTCAAAAACATTTTACATTTATTTAAATTGTTCACATTAATATTTTAAAGTATTTTAGCAAATTATTAATAGTATTTTAAAGTACCATACTTCAGAGTAAAACAGAATATTGTTTAAGAACCTCCAAATTTTGATTTCATGTGAAGAAAAAAAATTATTATAAATATAACATTTATTTTTTCCATATATTAAGATAATCGTATCTTTTGGTTTGTATCCATTAAGTTTTATAAATAAATACTGAGATGACATAAGAATATTTCATACGTTAAGTATTATTAGTGGTACGGCACAGCCTCAATCAGCTGACATTTCTTCGGTCGCATCATCCACTAACTATTAAAACAATTATTTTAAGTGACATGATGGCTACAGGCACCTACAGCCTTCAACCAGGGTCACGGTGACCCCTTATTGACCTTCAGATTGAGGTTAAAGACAACCAGCGGTTTAACGTCAGAGTACCCCTCGCACAATCACACGGTCCCTTGTGAAAACTCCTTTCACAGGCAGAGCCGTTAGCAGAAGTGTCGGAGCACGCAAGGCTGGTTTCAGCACACCGAGCCAAAGTACAGCTTGTTCGATCACCTGGAAATAGTCTAGCCTAAGAGCTGCCACACAGACAGCAGAGACCTTGACAATCTCTGTTGTTGGCTGTTGTGTTCTGCATGTACTCACTGCTGCAGTGCTTGTCCACTCCATCACACTGAGAACTGCTTAATCCCGCCTCCTCTCCCACGGGCTTCCTGGTTGCCACGGTGCTTGGAGTGATTGGCGGCTGCGGTGTGGTCTGAAAGTCTGGGAGAGCCAAAAAACACAAGTTACCACAAAGACCTGAACTGAACTGGAAAAATATCTGACAATATGCTTGCTAACAAAGATGGAAAAACTAGTCTGCATGTTTTCTTCTTGTAATTTATAGACTGTGAAGAATTTTTGACTGTGTTGTAATTTTCAAGCACGAGATTGAAAAATATTGGCTTATAGCACAAAACTTATTAGATTTACGATTTTGCTAAATATTTATAGTACCCCACTATTTTTCCTTGATAATAAAAATGGGTCTTTATACATAAAAATATATGGCTGAGGAGATTTTAGAAGGTGATCAAACTCATGTAAGAAATCAAATTTCGCCTGCCAAAAGCTAAAACGAATAAAGAAAACAAAAAAAATAAATACATTCATACATTGAAGGAGCCATTTAAGTTGAGATTCTAGAGACCAAAAAAATCTAAAAGACTTGGTAGTGGGCTTTATCACACTGTTGAGACCCCAATAAATCATTTTGATGCTTTTAGACTGTCCGTTAGCTTTAAGGGTAATCTATTTGCTAGTACTACTAATACATGACAAAACTTCACTTAAGAAAATGATTTTAGTCTGAAAAAAATATATATATTGATGACTCATCCTGCACTCACTCATCTTGTCCAATCAAATGCACACTAGATTGATAATGGCCCACCTCCTACATCTAATTAAGGCTAAGCCACGCCCCCTCCACTCACTCGGACAAACAGTCCGGGGACAGGCGCTATGGCAGCTATCACAGTAGGATACATTTCACAGGAGGCAATTGGTAATTTTTTGGGGACAGAAAGATTATATATACTCTAGAAGTCACCGGAAGGGCCTTAAATATGCATTGGAGGGTTATATTAATAATTTTATTGTTGAGAAAGTCGATGAAAAGCTTCAGCTCCAGGCAAAAATGTCCAGGTCACAGTGTGAACGTGATAAACCGCGTATCGTTGCGATCACTGTTACAGTATTTACATCAATCATTCAGCACAACATTGTTAACATTTGTTATCACGTTATTTACAGATACGTTAATGAAGCTAAGTGACATGATGTACAACGCAGCTAGAAGCTAACGTTTTCTAATGTTAGGCTAACGTTAGCGATTTTAAAGATAACATTCAAATACGTTGTTGACTTAACTTAAAACAGATGTAGACATCCTGGTTTCACTTATCCACGTTTAGTTGGTGTTGTGATATATCGCATAACTTAATCCAGAGCAGACACTTATCTCGGTTGAGATGTGGCTTGGGAAAGGGGGTAAATAATACACACCGTCACCCAGCCTCTCGGGAACCTAGTGTTGGAGTTGCATGTACCCCATGCACACCGTTTGACCATTTTAAACTTAAAATGACGAGAAAAAACTGACTAACTTCAATGCATTTCAATGGACGTGGACGCAGAGAATGTCCGAGTGTATTGGGTTAGCTGTGCACTGTGATTGGCTCATCGCGTTTGAGGGTGTGGCTTAGCCATAGGTCAATTGGCAATAGTAGTAAATCATGTTATTAGCTTTAAAGGAAATTAAAGATTTCTACCTCTATATCCAAAAAACGACAAGCCTGATCCCAATTTCTTGTTTTTAAAGGTAAACACATCAACATAGGAAAGAAAACTGCCCTTGTCAAGCCATTTCATGGTGGTTTTTAATTCAATGCAGCCCAACTTAAAACTTGAACACTACAATACCGATACCCATAACTTCTCCACTGCACCATATAAAATATTCAACAGCACTTCTCTAGAGCAGGTCATTTTTTACCCCACCGTAATCGTTCAACACTGAACCGGTGCAAAATGAAAAGGAACCGAGGGGCGGCTCGGAGGGGGGCCGTGTGAGATTTTCGTTACAGCGGACACAAAATGAACGAATTACAGGAACCTGAGCTAAATCATTCGGAGAGAAAACCCCCTGGTGATTAAAGGGTGCGGGGGAGCTCGTCGCCAAAACTCTCGCAACAGCCTTTAATGTGAACTACAGTAATCTTTTTTTCCTGGAAAATGCTGCCTTTTTTCTTTAAAACGAACAGCGCAACATTATGTGCCTTTAAGGATTAAACCTCTAACACAATATTAGTGCTGATGGGTGTTAAACAAGGTACTGGCGTGCATGCAAAAATCTAGGGCTGAAACCCAATTTGCATATTATCCTAAATTATACCCTGTAACCGTAAATCTCTTAAGGACTGGTATATTAATTATTCAAATGACTTTATTAATGTGTTTATTTATTTGCATACATAAGCCATGTAGAAATAAATAATAAATATTTATTTACAGTATATACATACTTATAAACAAACAATACATAATATATTTATATGCAAACTACCTAAAAAGGAGATAAAAAGAAAAGAAAATGAAATAAAACAAATGCATTAAATAAAAACAAGTACATAAATACAGCACTAAAAAAAATTGTTTTCAATCTAAATCCGCCTAAACTGGTCAAAACCTGGAGCGTTTAAAACGATAACTGCAAATGTTAACGTGTGCATGTGTTTTGGGCAAGAAGATTGATTTGTGACAGTTTTCTGATACAGTACAACGTGTGAACTGAAAGTCTAGCTAGCGCAAAGAAAGTGTTGCATCACCTCTCTTCTTGCGGGACTCCTTGATCTCCACGCACATGCGGTCGAATTCAGGGTCCAGTTCAGAGGCGATCATGGCGTGTGCAGTATCCTTCAGACTGCAGGCCCTGTGGCGGATGATTTTATCTGTATGCAAGCATAATGGAAGACGGTAAGGCCACAGTCAATGAAAAATTCATTTGGGTGGATGAAGAAAGAGCAATCAAAAGACTGACAGAAAGATTTCTGGGTTTTAAAACAGCACAATAAATAATCAAGACTAAAATACAACGACTGCAATTAGCTAATCGTGAAAAAAATGACGATTACAACATAACACAAGCTCACCCATTATAATCAACAAGGTGTAGACAGTTTAAATAAGCAGCATAATTTATTCCTGCATTGTCAAGGGAACTAATTATTATTATTGTTATTTTTTATCCAGCTACCTGCTGGCTATGGACAAACTTTAAAAATTAAGTACTAAATCTAAGTCTATCCTTGTATAAGTCTGAATGGGCATTGCTGCAGTTATTTTCTAAAAGAGTTGATGAATTCTGACAACATGAACAGCCATATACATTGCCAATGTCATGTTGGGAAACGTTTAAATTTAAGCAAATGAAAACTGCAGTCACCACCAATAGGAGCAAAGATATTAACGAATATAATACATATAAATGGTAAGATGGTGATATTAGTGTCACCATGTAAATATATATTTTTTTCCATGGCTTATTACAGGCCTAAAATATAAGTTAAAATGTGCATTCAAATGCGCATTCATCAAACAAATGCAGTTACATACAGTATATATATAGATTTTAATCAGGATAGCATGATATTTAAAGGGATAGTTCACCTGGAAAAATAAACTCTTGTCATCATTTACTGATGTAATTCCAAACCTGTATGAGTTTCTTTCTTCAGCTGAACATAAAAGAAGATATTTTAAAGAATGCTGGTAAACATACAGTTTTTGGTCCCCATTGACTTCCATAGAATTTTTTTCCTATAATGGAAGTCAATGGGTGTGTCAACTGTCTGGTTACCAGCATTGTTTATAATATGTTCAGCTGAAGAAAGAAACTCGGGTGTGGAACAACATAAATTTTTGGGTGAACTATCCCTTTCATTTTTAACAGGAATAAAAATGAGGCTGTGAGGTATAGAAGAACAGTGTCTTCAATGAATTGTTTAACAACGTACTGATTGTTAGGGGTGTAACAATGTATCATGCCACAATATAGCGCAAAACAAAAATGCAACAATACGTATCGTGGATAGTGACATGTATCGTGGATAATCCCCCCAAAATAAAAATTACTGTGTGAGAAAAAAATCAAGTTTTTAGAGTTTTAGTGCAAGTACTACATTGAATTCCTATATATAATGTTGATTATAGTGTATAATAATGCAATGGGGGAATATTTGTTGGTCCTTATAATGGCAAATGTCTGATGTTACCAGTAAAAAGTGTCCGACATTATTTTGAAAAAATCTAGTCAGTGAAAGCGTGCAAGCATATTCAACTCAGTACTTTCAGCTTCAGAATCAGGAATATTGTTATTCTGGTGTCACCATTGTCCTTGGGTTACAAGCACCAAGTCCAAGCCTATTCATTTAAACCCACAATGTAATATCAACAGTACATTTTTTGTCAACCTTTTACCATATGTCTTGGATTATTGCAATAATATCGTATCGTGATATGTATCGAAACTTTACACGAGGGTACTGATTGTTAAGCCAACAAAACGTCATTTCGTAAGTTGTGAGAAAATTCCATGATCTAGGACCTTTATACAGTGCTTGCCATTGTACGTCTATCCCTCACAGCCTCATTTCATTTGTGTAAATTCAATTTGGCGTCTAACCTAACTATGGTCTATACCGAAACTGTTGCCGTGTTTCAAACAACGACTCATTCACTGTTCCCTACAAAGTGAAAGCCACATAGTGCACCACACAGAGAATAAGACAGAGGTTTCGAAACAAAACGCCCTTTGACATGCTGAAAAGCAACTCCAATCACTTTATTTTGACCATCTGACTGGGATAAAATGGTTTTAATTTAAATCACAGATATCACAACCATTTCAGTGCTCTACATTTTTTCCAGACACAAAGATTTACCAAAAATAAACAAGAACAAACTAAGATTTTGGAAATCCAAATCCAAAAATCAAATCCAAAAATAATTTTTTATTCGGAAATCTGAAAAATACTTCTGGAGGCAGGAGTGCTCCACGGGCAGTCAATCAAAGTATTTCTGTTGACAAAAACACACTGGTGTGAGAACGGGGATTACTGTGTTTCCTCAAATTTCTCAGAGCAACCATTTGCATTCTATCCTCTTTCCTCTCTCTCTATCGTTAAATCAAGCAGCTATTAAACATGTAGAGAGGAAAAGTGTGTGTGAGCGTGAGAGAAGAGAGAGCACGCTACTGGGTAGTCCTCATTACTCCAGGACAGGCTGGAGGTCAGGATCTGGCAAAGGTTGCCTCTTAATTGGAAGATGGGCCTAATTAAGCCATCTAGAGCGAGTGAGAGGACACTCTTTACTCCAGTCAAGGATATAAAAGGCAGGCTGAGAGGAAGAGTGTGTAAACACACTTATTTTGACTTTCAAAGTGCTGTTCAAAGATCTCAGACTGCTAGTGCCAAAATTGACAAATAAACAAATGGATCTGAGAGAAATTAAATCAGCACTGCTCAATCCAGCTCCTGGAGATCTGCCTTCCCACAGAATTTAGACTATGCTTGGAATAAAATAGCAATATTTACTACTTAAAGAGTACTGCATTTTATCAACAATAAAAAGGTATATATAAATACACAAAGACATTTAAATTAGGGCTGTGCAAAGATTAGTTGCGATTAATTGCATCCAAAATAAAAGTTTGTGTTAACATTATGTGTGTGTTGTGTATAATTATTTTGTATTTATAAATACATATGCATGCATGTATATATTTAAGAATTATTTGCACGTAAATACTATATATATATATATATATATATATATATATAGGGGCTGAGCAACGATTAATCGCGATTAATTGCATCTAAAATAAAAGTTTGTGTTTAAATAATCTATGCGTCTGTAGTGTGTATAACTATTTTGTATATATAAATATACACACAAGCATGTATATATTTACGAAAAACGTGTTGTTAATATATCAAATATTTATATTCATATATAATATTAATCCTGTATAATATATATAAAGTATATATATGCAAATATTTCTTATATACATGCATGCATGAGTGTGTATTTATATAAACAAAATAGTTATACACACCACACACACACACATATATTATGTAAAAACACAAACTTTTATTTTGGATGCGATTAATCATTGCCCAGCCCTTATTTATATATATATATATATTTTATATATGAATAACACATTTTACATACTACTTCAACATCCCCAGCTAAGCACATACTTTCAGTATGATCTATGTGAACTGGGATGCAGTCTTTAAAGTTGAAGAGCAGGGCTGGCAGGAAACCCAGCAGGGAGGCTGATGTCCAGGGGCAGCTCTGAATTAAATCATTTGAATTACAGTAGAAAACCCTTAAAACTTGCATACCAATATGTGATTTTGAAACTTCAGCTGGGGTACGATTTCAAAGAGCACATTTTCTAGGAATCGGACTTGAATGAACAACCACTGCAAGGCTCTCTTTAATAAAGGGAGGTTTCCATACTCTATTTGGATCTGCACTGCAATTCGAAGAACAGAATTGATGCACACTAACAACAACAGTGCATTAACAAAAATAATACCTATATAGCGATGGAACAGATTTTAAGTGAAATGTTCATGCTTCACTTGTGAGAGTAATGCCTAACAAATGGAATTTTGACAGCTCCTAAATCCCATATTCCCCTGCTCTAAATGGACCAGTTTCCTTATTAATGTAGCTAATTGCGTTTTGTCTCGTTCCTTCAGTGGCTCCTCTGTGAACGCTGCATTTAAACAAATGACCCACGTTCTCCCAGCAAATGGGCTACTATGATTTATTCATAGGCACCGGCTGCATTTAGCCAACAACCTTCAATGGCTGACCGATTAATCCAGACTTTTGGGAGTTAAGTCCTGACAAACTGAAATCTTAAAGGGATACTCCACTGTTTTTGGAAATAGGCTCATATTACAACTCCGCCAGTTGAGTTAAACAGTTGAGTTTTACCTTTTTCGAATCCTTTCAGACGATTTTCTGATATTTAGAAGTATATCAGTAACCGAACAGTTTCTGGTCTCATTGACTTCCATAGTATACTACTATGGAAGTCAATGAGACCAGAAACTGTTCGGTTACTGATATACTTCTAAATATCAGAAAATCGTCTGAAAGGATTCGAAAACGGTAAAACTCAACTGTTTAACTCTGGGGGAGTGGTAAAATGAGCCTATTTCCAAAAATAGTGGAGTATCCCTTTAAGTGTTGCGCAGAAGTAGCCAGCTAGCAGACTTCCAACATTCAGAAATCAAATAATAATACACGGCCATCTTACCTCACTTCGCTCATAAACAATCATAGACATATACACTAGACCTCACCTTGGGGCTCTAAGCATGCGTCAAAACCGCCGCCATCTTGGAACAGGGGTCTTGTCATAGGAAGTAGCTAAGTAACGCTGCTATCTCTGCCTTTACGTCGAATTCATTGATGGTGGCGGACTTTTGTGCAGTGTATGATGTTCACAGATGAAATCTGAACTAGGAAGAATGTTTTTGAAAAAAAAAAATTTTTTTTTTCTTTCTGGAATCAATGATAAATACATGTCTGACCGTTGGAACAAACCAAAAAAAACAAGAAAAATCGCATTCATGATGATTTATGGTGATTTTATTTCCGTTAGACCTGTGTCTACTACATTGACGCTGATGCATTAAAGTGGAGGGGCTCCCCTGTTTCAAGATGGCGGCTCTATTGACGCATTCGTTCCAATGAACTGCCGTAGCCAAGGTGACGTCTAGTGTATACGTCTATGATAAACAATGATGTGGTAATAGTATGACAGTTTGGACCGGTTTTTAATATGAACATGTTGCTCTTTTTAAATAAAGCATGCTTTTCACATCAGAAGGGCTCCTTACCACATTAATAATCGATGGGTTTGCGAATGATGTTTGCAAGTAGTGTTAATTTCGTTAACGAAAACTAAACGAAAATATTTTCGTCAACGCACATTTTTCACCGAACGAAAACTAGACGAGACGAGACTAAAATCCCCACTAATAAACAATAACTGGGACTAAATCAGAAATAATTTTCGTAGACTAATAAAGACGAGACGAAAATGCAGTTCGGTAAATAAAGACTGGGCTAAAATCTATGGACATTTTAGTTCACGAACAAAGACGAGACGAAAATTACATATTATTATATGATATGGTTTTGTCAAATCCTGTCTCGTCCTCCGCCTCCTCCTCGTCAGCTCTTCCGCCACACACACCCACGTTCAAACCTGGAGCGGGCGGGCACAGTCAGTCAGAGTAGCCTACACAACACACGAGCAGACAGGAGCTGGATTCACGGTGAGGCGGCGGCGACAGGTTAAAAGTAAAACATGCTTTGCACGGGGCTCGGGAGAAAGAAGAGACGTGATATATGGACACATTTTGTTACAATGATAAACTAACTAATGATGGCTAACTTTCATAGCATTTAGTATCCAGGCTGGCTATGTTGCGTTAGCGTCTTAGCACGTAGCGACCGTAGCCACTTGTTGATAGAATTGTATGTGAAGTTAAATTTATGCTAACTTAGATATGTTATACTGGCCGGGCAACTATAGTTTCAGTTACATTTGATTAAAGCAGACAGACGCTTTAAAAAGATTAGTTAAAAAGATTTCATACGTTCTAGCAAGCTATGCCTTGTTTCACCTTAAATACTGTTCCTTTATATACCATGTGAACTAGCTGGCAGGAAAGCACTTTTGTTGTATCAGTTGGAGTTTTTTTTTTTTTTTCACAACATTGACCTCAAATCTATTTATTTTATTATTCTATGTGAACTAGCTTTAAACAGCCAGCACTTGTGTTAAGTTCATAATACACTTTATTTTATTTATTTGTTTCCTTTGTCAGGTGTATTTTATTTGTTTTAATGCAAGCATTTGTGTTTGTGTCTTTGAACCTTAACAATGTTCAAAATAAATATGCAAATATTGTCAGAACATCTTCCATGTCTGCATGTGTTCCTTAAAATTGTGTTTTTTTATCAAAAAGATGAGAGAAAATGTTGAAATGTGAAATAATTTTAGGAAATGTTAAATATTATCTGCTGACAAAAAAGTAAAAGGTTAAAATGATGTCCTGACTAAAACTAGACTAAAATGTTGACAGTTTTTTTTTTTTTGACTAAAACTAAACGAATAAAATTATGTTTTCTTGGACTAAAATAAAGACTAAAATGCTCGACTTATAGTCGACTAAAACTAGACTAAATAAAAATGGGATGATGTCGACTAAATGTGATAAAAACTAACAAGCGATGCTGAAACTGGACTAAAACTGAAACTAAATTTAAAAATGGCTGGTAAAATTAACACTATTTGCAAGGCTATATGGCAGGTGTGCCCAACCTTGCTCTTGCCGATCGACTGTCCTTCACAGTTCATCTTCAACCCTAATCAAACACACCTGAAGCACCCAATGGGCTATATGCACGCATAAGTTCCGCATTTGACGTAAGGATGCTCGTCCATTTCCGGTTGTGTAGATTAAAGCGGAGGAAAACCGGAGAAAACGGGATTATGGCAGAGTCTTCAATATTTACTGTCCTCCCGTCTTTGAAACGAAACGTACATACGTTTAGATGTAATTTTATATATAGTTATGTTTATTTAATATAATTTTAAAAAGAAGCATAAACACAACGAGGGGTGTCTGTTTTATCTGTTTTTGTGACTAACGTTTCATTAGTATAACCATGGAGTATAAAATTCAATATAAATTCTCGGTATTGCATTGGACTCTATGATCGGCGGAAGTTATCGAGCATCCTTAATCCTTCACCGGAAATAACGCCGTGCATAGAGCCCATTAAGGTCTTCTGGATCACTTGAAAATTAAAGTCTGGTGTGTTTGATTGGGGTTGCAGATAAACGGTGCAGGACAGGAGTACACCTGCTATATGGTCTGAGTCAGTATTTCAGCTACTGTGTTTCCATGGCTCAATTCATTCAGGTTTAGTTTATATTCACTGTACTATGTACATATATTGCATGTCCATTACCATCAATAAATATCTAAACTACAAAGTGTCCCAACTGACCTACTGTATGGCCCGAGAATAGCAAGAAATCCATTACAGCGATGAATGGGTTTTATGGAGACTGCTCATTATAGTGCCATTTTTACTCTGTGGAGAGATCAGTGACAATGATTTCCTGTGACTTTTGAATGAAGAAGGGTGAATGGGTTAATGTCTAGCTGCATTTTTCCTGTCCTTAAATTCTCATATTTTTCATTGAAGAACCAAGTCTGACTGATTAATCATTCATTTAATGTCCTTTACACTTCAAGTACGGCAGTCGCTGCTGCTTTTTTCACTGTTGAAGCTCTAAATTGGCCTTAATGCCAGATGTCACATGAATAAACATGAAACAGGTCTCAACGCATCCGCTTGTTGGAAAAAGTGCTAACTTACGGCGACATCAATACAATTTTAAGATAATCAGCAAACCTAGCTAGTTATTTTTGGTGTTATTCAATTTTAATAATATCGAATGTTACTGAGAAGAAAAATAAAATCTTTTTGATATCAATCAGTATATGCAATGGACAACATTTATGCTCATTTTTGGTACATTCTTGATTAAAACAGCTCTATATTTAACAAAGCTCATGCAAAAGACCTGAAACGGAAGAGAAGCAACCTGTTTTGCAGAATACAGAAGTATATTGCACAAAACCCGTATTAAGTACTAGGAGTGTATCGACTAGTTCATCAACTAGTAAAAACACTACTTCAATGTCAAAAATTGATTTTCCGTTATGCATATATTGTATAATTCATCATACATTTTATGCATGGATCATATTGTTATATTTGTCACTATTTGTATTAAAATACTGCGTTTTGTTTATTCAGTCAAGTGCTCGAAATCAATTCTCAAAAGTTACTTTAAGATACAAGGTAAGATAACATGACATAAACAACATACAAGTCTCTTTAAAAATGAATGACTTTCTGTTGCTGCATATCACCCTATAAGACTTGATGATCTTATATTTATCCAGTTGCTCTATATAGTATATTTACCTCCTGGGTCTTTGTCTGGATTGTACTCTAACGCGTTGCTGCAAATGAGGTCAACATCCACTAGAAAATCACCGGCGACCGTGTACTTGTGAGTGTCGATCTTCATCATGATGGCGGACAGGTCCATAGGCTGTTTGATAACCTCGAGGTAGTCTGACACCTAAAACAGAGACACTTATAAAAACACTTTCAAATATATATATTTATATATATATATATATATATATATATATATATATATATATATTTTTTTTTTTTTTTAACTCTATAATATAATTATATATATGCAAAAGCCTCTAAGTGCCATTTTAAATGTTCTTCTAGAATGATAATTTATCAAGTTTGCATATTTAAGTTCAGTAATTTCACTTTAATGGCAATGAAGATTACCTATTAATTGTCAAGTGAAATAACTGATTAAAGTCATTTTAGTGAAATTACTGAACTTAAATATACAACCCTGATAAAAATGATCAAATGCCACTTAGAGGCTTTTGCATCTGAACTGTATAAACGTTTGAGGTCAGCTCAGTTTATTACTTTTTTTTTTTATAAATACCTATTCAGCAAGGACTAAAAAAATATTTAACATTTATGCTGCTCTGTTGTAGTTTCTATTCATCAAAGAATTTTGAAAACATTGTATCACAGTTTCCTCAAATATATGAAACATTATTCATTATTTTTTAAATGAGCGATCGTTTCGCTTGATAAGACCCTTATTCATTGTCTGAAATCCTTTAAAGCCCTTTGAACAGTTTGCAGTTTGCACTGAAACTGTCTTTTGGACCTTGAACCGTTTGGTTCCCATTGAAGTCCATTACATGGAGAAAATCCTGGAATGTTTTCATCAAAAACCTTAATTTCTTTTCGACTGAAGAAAGAAAGACATGGACATCTTGGATGACATGGGGGTGAGTAAATTATCAGAAAAAGTTTTTTTTTTAAAGTCAACTACTCCTTTAAGGATAAGATCTTTTGCATTGTAGCATTTTTTTCAATAATTTTACAAAACCGAAGATACACGTGACCCATTTTCTTGACAGACTTTGTAAGCTTCACACTATAACAAACTTCGAAATTATGTCTCACTCTGTATTCATAGACGCACCGTCCTCCTCGTTTGCTTCTTATATTGATTAACTTTTTAATTGCCTCCTCAAATTTACTGATTCAAGTAAAGATCCTGCCTGCAGCTGTTGTATAATGACAATCATTTGATTTGTTTGGTCTGGGGCTTGCTAATAAACCATAGGTGCGGCTAATTAGATGGTAATATTGAACGAACCGAGTACAGAGCCTACAGGCATTATTCATACTACAGTTGCTGATGTGCAGTAACAGCCCACCTCCTCAATGTCTACGGGTTTGCTGAAGATCTGGAAGCGCTTGTCAGTGGCGAGCCGCTTTGTGACGTCCCTGAGAAAGAGGCGGAGCTCGCGCAAGGTGTTCTCCTCCTGCTCCTCCAATCGCCGCTGCTCCTCTGGCGAGAGCTGTCGAGGGCCGGGGTCTTCAGCGAGGGTCAGTACCTCCAGAGAGCACACTGGAAACACAAAGACACACACAATCCCTCAGTACAACGTAACAGATAGAAATCATGAGGAATCTGATGAGGAATGAGGAACCAAATTAATGATTACATTTTGTTTTGTACTTCTAAGGGAGTAAAGAAAGAATCATTACGTCTGATTCATGACCAAAAACATCTTTTTATTGCTTTTTAACAATATTTATAACATATCGAGGGTTTGGAGCCAGAGGGGCGTAAGTGGCATTTTGGGCGAATATGAGTTCTTTATATCAAAATAAAGGTCTCGATGAGCTCTATTCAATGGTGCCAAAAATACCTATCTGAGATCAAACTGTATTGAATAAAGCAACAAAAAGGCGTATCTGACATATTTGACTTTTTTTTTTATTTGAAAATGTTCTAGAACATTGTCATTGTGTAAATATATGCCATACATTTTTTACTTAAATACTCATTCATGTAAGTATGCCTGTGGTTGCAATGTTTGTGGTTTAAGGTTAATAATACAGGTGATTAAGTGTGGTCAAAATTTTGTTTTGTCTCTCCTGTAAAGTTTGTTAAAAGCCACTTACGCCCCTATGGCTCTAAGCCCTCGATATATAAATATCATTTTTTTACATTTTACCCCAATAAGAGGAACTATTTCAATAACAGTAAAAGATACAGATAGGTAAAGATCAAGTAAAAACACTTTTTTGTTTTAATATATTTTAAAATGTAATTTCATTGGGTGATGGTAAAGCTGATTTTTCAGCCATTCTTATGAAATCATTCCTATATGCTGATTTTGCTGCTCAAGGAAAAAATAATTTTATTATAAATATTGAAAACATTTTCTTTATATATTTGTGGATATTTTGTGACATTACAAATATCTTTTGTGTCATTCTGATCAATTTTTGCTGAATCAAAGGAATAATTTCACAGACCACAAACTTCTGAACAGTAATCTGTTATATTTTATTATATTGTGGATGCAATATACCACTCCATCCTAAAATGGTGGTGGAAGAAACATTATCAGAATACCCGTTCTCTTAGCAATGGCATTATGAAAATTGTGTTTTCCGCCCCAAAACCCCAGACCTTAAAGACTGGGTTGATGGGATGATTGAAATTGCTTCATATGAGACCATGTTGGGGAGACTGCATAATGAGGGAGAAATTAAAGAAACATGGGACCATTTTTGGCAGCATATAAAAATGGTGTAAATAGGACTGCTCAATAATTGTTTAATTTTCATGTGCTTTTGTTTTGGTTGTATTCCACTGATGGGGACTAGTGGCGGAGTGTGTAATTGCAATGGTGATTACTGAATAATGTGATGTACTCTGATGTTTTGACTGTTGAACAATAAAAAAGTTGAATTACAAAAAAAGAAAATTGTATTTTATTCAGAAAAGGAATCGGGTTTTAACACCAGATGAAATGCTGAGCAAATGGCCTTAAACGACTCAAAGAATCAGATGACACTGAAACTGTGCCAGATCAGCGAGAGGAATTACAAACACCCAGGCCCAGTATTATATGGATGAAGTCAAGCAACGCTTCCCACCACAGCGTGGGCCGCAAAGTGTGTTATTGATTTCTGAAGAGCTCCAACGAACAACCTGACAGCTGCAGTAATTCAGGGCTGCATCCGTACAACGAACCAAAAACAGACTGCCAGAAATGACCAAACGCACCAAGCAAAGAGTGCTAATGTGGTACTGCCTTGTAAAATATTGCTGACAGATAAAAAAAAATCTTCGCCAAACAGGCCTGAGGACCTAATCCGAAGATCTGGGCATAGTGCCTGGCGATTATTGAGCCACCAGCCTCAGCAATTTGCTTTGTGGCAGCAGCTAGCAAGCAGTCATGCTAACTGTGAGCGTAATTATAGCTAATGGTTATGGCCTGGCGTTTAATAGAGCCCCTTTCTCCCAGCACAGATGCTATGCTGCAAAAGGACGTAGAGTTTTTCTTCAGAGATGCCCGTGGTCGGCCCATGGGAGGACTTCCACTTGCCATTCCCTGCTATAATGGCTCCAACTGAGAGGCAGCCGACGAGCATGGCAATCGAACACAAGGAGAAGATATTCAGAATGAGGAGCACCCAGGATGCCCAATTTATGCAGCGACAGCAATAGCAATTCTGGAGGAGCAGCAGCGGTGGCGGAAGTAATTGCAATGAGAAAAGCGACAGCACTAGTAGTTATCAGCCAAAAATGAATTTACTCGCAGTCATGTCGTTCCAAACCTGTATGACTTTCTTCTGAAGATATTTTTGAAAAGTCTATTTCTGTCCTGACAAATCAGTGGTTTTATAGCAGTATTTATAATATCAACCTTTCGCCATTGACGGAATTTTCCAGCAATCCATGTTTTCAGTGTTATACAGAAGGGGGCGCTATTACGCATCTTCTGAAAGAGTGCAGAATCTCCAGATCCAAGAATAAGCGAAGAAGCTTTGCTTATGCATACGTTAGCTAACGCGATGATAAGACTTTCAACAGCATATAAATCAAAACTGAATGAAATGTCGACCGAGAAAGAGGTATGGGACTGTGGCAAGCTTTGGTTCTGTTGATGGACTTGATCTACTTTTTATGTTTTGATCATCATTCTGAATCCGATTCTCCATGTACTTTTTTTATTTTGCAATCCAATACTTACAGGTGACCAATGATGGGAAAGTTACTTTAAAAAAGTAATTAGTTATAGTTACTAGTTACTTCTCACAAAAAAGTAACTGAGTTACATTATTAAATAAGTAACTAATTACCTGGAAAAGTAACTATTGCGTTCCTTTAAAAAAAAAAAAGAAGAAGAAGAAAAAAAAGATTGCATACCCCCAATATTAAATATGTTAAATGAATGAAAATGGGAAAGTATAGTTTAACAAAACATGCTCACAATATATTACTGAACAATGTACCAACATAAATAATAATAATAAAATATAATATTCTTGAAAAACGAATCTTTTTCTGAGTCAATTCGTTCGTTGAATGAACCAAATGACTCGAAAAAAGATTTGTTCATTTTGATAAACGAGTTTGAACAGGAGTCAAAAACAAGCGTCACAGAACAGAGCAAGGCGAGCATTTGTAGCGTATAAAACTTAAACTTTGTTATTTATTTATTAAATGAGCGATTGTTTCGCTTGATAAGACCCTTATTCATCGTATGGAATCGTTTAAAGCCCTTTGAACAGTTTGCAGTTTGCACTGAAAGTGTCTTTTGGACCTTGAGCTGTTTGGTTCCCACTGACGTCCATTATATGGAGAAAAATGCTGGAATGTTTTCATCAAAAACCTTAAAGGGTTAGTTCACCCAAAAATGAAAATTAAGTCATTAATTACTCATCCCCATGCTGTACCAACCCCGTAAGACCTTCGTTCGTCTTCGGAACACAAATGAAGATATTTTTGATTAAATTTGAGAGCTGTATAACTACCACAAAGGCTCCTAAGGGACTGGCTCTTGACGGCCCAGAAAGTCAATGAAGAAAATGTTTAAATATTCCATGTGACTACCGTGGCTCAACTATATGTTTATCAAGCGATGAGAATACTTTTTGTGCGAAAAAACAAACAAAAATAACGACTTTATTCGACTATTCCTTTTCTTCCTTGTTGGCCTGAAACGAGACTTCAATACGATTTCCACGACGCATGCGCGAGAATTGAACTGAAGTAGTTGAAGGAGATCACAATTCTCGCGCATGCGTCGTGGAAATCGTATTGAAGTCTCGTTTCAGACCAACAAGGAAGAAAAGGAATAGTCGAATAAAGTCGTTATTTTTGTTTGTTTTTTCGTCTTACGGGGTTGGTACAGCATGGGGGTGAGTAATTAATGACTTAATTTTCATTTTTGGGTGAACTAACCCTTTAATTTCTTTTCGACTGAAGAAAGAATGACATGGATATCTTGGATGACATGGGGGTGAGTAAATTATCAGCAAAAGTTTTTTTTTTAAAAGTGAACTACTCCTTAAATTGTTCATGGTGCTTGACAGATACAATTGCTGCAAGTTGGTAAAGCAGTCTTAAAAAGGTTCAAAACCTAGTTAACATCAATCTAAGTGTAGATAAATCTGGATTAACCACGGTAAACACTTACCTGTTTTTCTACTGCGGGGTGGTGCCTTGGCCGCCTGCACCAGAATGAGGTCCGAAAAAAAATTCCTACGTGCTTCTTCTCCCGGCATGGTTAAACAAACCACCTCCCTGTATGAACGGCTGAAGATGCATTTTAGCTGTAAAAAAATAAATAAAATAGAGGCATTTAAAAATACATTTTTGATAATAAAACACTTAAAAACTGCAACAACAAAAATGACCCAATACCAGTTTTCAAATATTGAGTTTTTCAGCTTCCGAATATATGTGTGTGAGTGTGTGTGTTCAATATTTCACTTTCGGCCTTGAGTTAAGCATCAAACCAGCGGCTCATGAATTCAACATATGACAAACAGAACATCTGCCGTGAAAATCATGGAAAGCATCACTCATCCAACTCTTCAAATACTTCCAACAAGCAGGGATCAGATCTCTAGGACTCCAGAAAAAGTATCTCCCCAAAAAGTGAGCCAGACTACATAAAAACTCATTTAATACGTGTTGAGCCCTGTCGGTTTGGTTTCCCCACAGCATTCTTTGTTCTGATGCGTAGCATTGTTTCATTTTTTTTTTCCCGTTTCCCCCCCGAAAGCACAGTGCATGACAGGCTCTGACTCTCGAAAATATTTCTCCCTGCGTGAAGCATTGTTCTGCTCAGCCCTAAGTTCAAAAGAAAGTGTGTTTGTAAACAGTATTTATAGGGTGAGATCCAAAGCAGGAAGAAAATCAAACCAATATGATGTGTGAAGCACACGTCTGTGAGGAGCGAGTAGGATGCTCACTGAAAAAATGTTTACCTTCCGAATTAAAATTAAGTGACTTGACAGTTCAAACGTTAAAAATGTACATATTCACATAAGTAATTTGGCATAAGCAATTATTATTAAATACACACACTGAGATTAGGTGAGTGTAGGGGAGAGCGGGGCACAACGCATTTTGGTTTTGGCTCAATTAATTAAAAAAATAATTAGGTTAGTTAATATTTTTTTTACACAAGCAACATACACATCTCTGCTACAAATTAACACTTAAAGTTTTTTTCTAGGACCTACCATTTTCGTACAGTTGCACTGAAAGTGACAGAAGTGCAAATGTTACAACTTACCCCATATGCGGGGTTAATTGTAACAGACAGAGGGGTTAGTTGTAACACTTGTGTGTAACACACATAATTCAGTACTATTTTATTTGTAAAGTTTGATATTGTTTATGCATCTGTATAGACAGATATCCACACATCCATCCTTCATCCAATCACCCTTCTATTATGGATCAATATCATGGATAAAGACATAGAAAAGGGCTGCATAGTTTTGCAATAAATAATAATAAATAAAACTAGAAAATATTGTAATTGCAATTAAATTAGCTTTGTGTGTGGCAGCTGCATGTAAAATTATTATTAATAATAATAATAACAGTAATAATAATACAAATGAACTTAAAATAACAATTTAAAGGGTTTATTGCATTAAAAACATGCCATGTTTTTAATAAATAAACAAGTTATCATTTATAGTACACTAAATTTTAAACATTTTAAATTCCAACATTGTTTGTGAAAGTCCAACAAAGTTAAACGTATACTCAAACCTAAAAAGTTGTGGCTTCGTTTTCATTTGATTCTCATTGTACACTTGGAGGCTTAGTTGTAACACTGTGTTACAACTAACCCCGCTGTGTATTACATATTTTAACTCTAGCTAACAGTCGCTATAGGAATTTCTGACATGTTTCAAAACGGTGCTATGTTTGAGCCAACAAGACAGTGATTAAGGCAATATAAAGTTAGATTTGGAAACGTATACACCCAACTCAAAAACCGAAAAAAAATCTACGATGAAAAAATTTACTTGCATGGTGTCAAAACACTCTTTGTCCATTATCTTCACGAAATATAATCAAAACTTTCCGCAAATTCGCGGGAGATCGTATTCTGGCAGCAAGAGAAAAAAAAAGCGAAAAGACAACCTGCTTGATCCTGACTGACTATGTAAAAAGTCTGTGTTACATTTAACCCTGTGTTAGGTTGTGCCCCGCGCTCCCCTATGTCTTATTTATTAATTTGTTTTGCATAATTTAAGGCTAGTTAACAATTAGATTGGGGTTACAACTTGTAGGCAATTATTTTCTCAAATTTTTGGGGTAGTTCGTGATCAGCGTTAGGATGTAGCTCAACAAAACATGGTGATCCAGTAATAGGTCCCACTTGACAAAATCATGGCCACTGTCATCTGCCCAATTATAAGAGCAGGATAACAAAAATCTTTAATGAAGAGTGATTTGATCAAACATAATGAAAGGATGGAGACGAAATGCGATGCACGCATCCTTCCCGACAGCCGAAGACATGCATGAAGTGAAAACCTGAAAATAATGATCAGTGTCTGGTGCACATGGTCACAGGTGTCACTGAAGATTGTTTTAATGAGCAGTTTCGTATCGCTATATTCAACTCTAATTTCACATGGTATAGTGTGCCGTGCCAGTCCAATTACTGCAGTCTGGGAGAATTTTTTTTACTGAATCAGCAGTTAAAACTTTACGGTAAGTTCATGCAAGTTTCTCAAAAGGCTGCAGCAATCAGGAGAAATGAAAAGGTAAAGGCTAAAGACTTCTAAATATCTGAAAGCTCTCATACCTTAGTGAAAACTGAGCTCTTTTAAAAAAGTCCCCCAGGGCTCCACAAATATTACAACACGGCGGCGGTACTAGGAGCCAAGTTCTCCATAATGAGGATCCGTGGAGCACTTAAGTTCAATTTCCAATCATGAGCGGGTGTTGGAGATCCAAACAAACCCTCATCAACTGCATTATTCACTTGGCAGATTTGTTTGCACTCAGGTTGCTTTCAGACTTCTTTGGTCCAAACTCTTGAGGTGAGATGAAGGGAAGCAGAGAAAGTAACCAACAAAAGAGACAGGTAGTGATTTTATGATTTGTCTGATGGAAGCGTTGGAGACTAATGCAGATCCTGAGAGCCGAGAGACTAAATAGGCCTTTCAACTCGCAAGAGACATCCTGAGGAAATGTGGAAATCAAAAACACATTTCTTGTCTCTTCCTGTCTTTCTCCTATTGAAACATGTTTCATCTTTACTTCACATGAACAACAGCTTTATAGAATAGAAAGAATAAAGTTGGGATTTGCAAACCAGTGTGATATCTTAATGTAAATTCAACATGAAAGGACACGTGCGGTGTAATTTACTTTCATTATATGACATTTTCAAGGATGTTCGTTGACAAGACAAATGAAGGCGTCGCCAAACAAGTACATTTATAATGGGAGTTTCAAACCATTTGCTGTCAATTTTGAAGGATCTCCTAAAAATCACTTCAATGAGTGAAACTTGAAAAAGTTCACCCAAAAATGGAAATGCAGTGCTGTTATTATTTACTCATCCTTAAGTCTTTCCAAAACCTGTCTGACTAACGATCATTTGTGGAACAAAAAAGTTCTGTTTTTTTGTCCATGAATGAAAGACGTTATTTGGACCCCAACCGTTCTCCAAATCATTTTGTGTTGTGAAATAGAAATTAAGTCATACAGGTTTGAAACAACATTTTGGGTAGACTTTTCCTTTTAAGTGACACATTATAAACAACTTGGAGAAAACCAACAAACACAGTGTTACTTATTGACAATACATCTCTAAAAACAAGCCTTACTATCTTTCATTGTCACTTCTCAAGTAAATCTATCTTGTTTTTTAATGGAAAGTTAGTTTTATTTTCCTTTGTAATGAAAACAAGTAAAAAAGACTGATTAGTCTTTCACAAAAATGTCAGTTGAAGGGATAGTTCACTTTGAAATTAATTTTTGATATGTTTTAGCTTACCTCAAGGGCATCCAAGATGTACAGTAGGTGTCTTTGTTTCCAAAGTATTTTCAATTTTGATATTTTTAGGTCAAACCGTTCTTGTCTGTCAGTCATATAATGGAGATATATGGGGTCCACCTCAAAGAGCATGCACAGAGAAGTCCAAATTAAACATGATTTAATGACTCGTACATGTAAGTGTACATTGATGGCCTAAGACACAGTAACAGTATATATCATTTTTACCTCTTGTAACCACAGCCACGTCCTTTGCTCTTTGAGGTGGACCCCATATATCTCCATTATATGACTGACAGACAAGAACGATTTGATCTAAAAATATAAAAATTGAAAATACTGTGGAAGCAAAGACACCTGCATCTTGGATGCCCTTGAGGTAAGCTAAAACATCAAAAATTAATTTCAAAGTGAACTATCCCTTTAATATATCCTATTCAGATTGATATCACCTTCCACTTTTCATATTGACTGTATAGTTTACGATAAAACTGTAATTTAAATCTTTTCTTAAACTTAAACATAAAGACTTAAAGATGAATCCATTAAAACACAAAATTACACAAACATATAAAAAGACACCAGGCTGCTCAAAACAGAAGGTATTACAGTGAACTAATAAGTGTACACTGAGGTGTAAAGTTACACTACTGGCATCCCTCCTACACACGCTGGCATGAGCCAAAACTCTTCCCGCAGCAGAGCACAGGGGCACGCACCTCCTTCCCGTGATCCATGCCACCTACTCCCACTGCAGATGCTGTTTACAGGCGGAACTGGCATCTGTCTCTACATCTTTCTCTTTAAGACATGTAAGGGAATGGACGAGTTGAGAGATTTGTAGTGGTTATTTTGTTGCAGTTTCTTTTAATTTGTCGGAGGCCTCTCCCCTGATGTGCAGTGCCGCAGAGAGGACAGCTGTCTCGCTGAACATGCCAGAAGCCGAGGGCCAGTGCAAACTGTTCTCGAGCTTCTACTTTGCATATTTGGGCTGCACTTAATGCAGATAAACTCGGGGGTTAATGAACCTTTTTTTAATCTTGAACCAAAGTAGGTTCAATATACTCCCACTTAAGACCTACTTAATGTGTGCAGAACCAAATTGTTACTGCTATTTAGTTGTTGGTTTTTTATATTACAACCATGTTTGTCAATTTAGAATAATTAACATGATATAATATAAACAACTATGTGAGAACAAATCACAATCCTTTGGTTCGTCAAACTGACTAGTGAAACAACTTGGTCTGAATCAACTACACACCTTAACATAATTACTGACGACACTTGACT